AATGAATGAAATTATTAGGAAATGATGAGTTTTGAGAACTCTTATCTTTAAAACATAATTTATTTGTAGGCTTATATAATTTAGTTTTAACAATGATAGGTTTAATTTCTGAAATTCAACAGCCAGCACTCGTGAGCCGGCAAAAGCCTCACAAGCTGACTCCAGCACCACACTGAGAAGCGGCCACGTGCGCTGTCTTTTGATTCCCCTGCACTTGACAGAAATGCAGTTCTTCCACAGGTAGATGAAGGTTCACAACACAAGAAATCAACTTTTAATGACTAGTGATGGATTGAGCATCTAAGGCAGACCCTGGCCACGAACATGGGCTCGAGAACCGGTTTGCGCTGTGCAAACTGCAGGACCTGAGGCAGGTCATTTACATCCTGAGCCTCGGTTTTCACTGTGAAACAGAGAAAATAGTTCCTCTTGCTTAGGATTGTTGGGACAATTAAATGAAATAATGCATGTAACGCAGCAGCCCAGTTCTCAGGACGCCCTCGGCTCCCAGTAAGAGCTGAAAAAATAACAGCTGTCAGGAGGAGGCAACAACATTCTCAAGTCCTGGCTTGAATCAGATTACTGTATGAGCTGAGGCAGCATCATAATCTTATTTCAGAAAAACTTCATTCAAAATGTGTAAGAAGTCATTTGGACATTTTCAACAGAACATAAAACCAGGTGACTAAAGATGATATTCAGTAAACATTCTGATGGAAATGCTTTATGTAAGAATTGAGAGTGGGACACAGAGCAGTGGTGCTGTACACGCGTCTATAGATAAATACCGTACAGTGATACTAAGAGCCCACATGGAAGCGTGAGGGACGCTGGTAGAGACTAGATACAGGCGCAGGGAGAAGGGTTGGGCTCTCCTGAGGTTACTTGAGGGGCACCAGCTAGCCAGTGGTGACAGAGCTTCGGCTGCTTCTGTAACATGTGATTTCTGCAGGCTCTGAGAACTAGAAAATGAATATATGGTCGTTATTTTAGGAAGATTAAAAGATACAAACAAGATTAAGAAAGTAGAAATCATTTCCTGTATGTAGATAAAAACTAAATACTTGGTATGTATATATCTGGATTATTTTTTGTAAATATAACATGAATTGTATGTGTGTGTTTACATACATTCAGAATTCCTCAGGCTGCGCTGGTGCAGAACTTTCTAGCTGGTGTAACTCAAATAGGTGTGTGGAGATGGTCTCCTTAGCCCACAAGGTGGCCGAGTAGGGTCGGGATGACTGGTCACCCCAGTGTTCTGATCAGATGTTGCCAGTTGCTGTGTGCGCCATGCATGGATTGAGGTTGGGAAGCGTGCCTTAGATTTCCTGTGGAATCAGCCACCTTCTGCATACTAGAAAAGCGGAAAGGAGGTTTAAAAGCCCTTTTAGTGGAAAGAGCCTCTTACTTCTCCGAGCCCTAACTGAAAATATGCCCCCTGCTTGCAGTCCAGCTCCCTGGCACTCACTGCTGAGCACCATTGCATGTGCCTCGTGCAGAGAGAGCTCAGGCCCTTGTTGCTATACTCAGTAGGGCTCAGACATAAAGACTGAAACGACATACTTTTCTTTGTTCATAATATTAGTGAAGATTAAAAATTTGACCCCTAGTGTTGGCAAGAACATAGGAAAATAGACAACTTCATGTCCTACTTGTAGGAGTAAAAATTATTACCTTTCCATTACACAGTTTTTATAATCTGAATAACGCATCACAACATGTGCCTTCTTTTTGATGCAGTTGTTATTTGTAAGAATTTATCTTAAGGAAATAATCATGAATATAGGGGAAGATTTCTCTGAAAATGTTTCTTGTAAGTTTTATTTAAGTAGAAAAAAGCTTGAAATTATCAAAATGTCAAACATGTAAGTGGTTAAAAATTTTTGGCTCATCTGTACAATAGACTGCCATGTAACGATGGTGTTGCATCAGAATATTTAATAATATTAGAGGGGGGAGGGTGTAGCTCAGTGGTAGAGCATGTGCTTAGCATGCACAAGGTCCTGGGTTCAATCTCCAGTACCTCCGTTAAAAATAAAACAAATACAATAAACCTAATTACCTCCCCCTCCAATTTTTAAAAAAAAATTAGAAAATAACCTGATAAAACTGATAAGTTAAAATTTATAAACTGATAAATTAAAATTTATCAGTCTTATGAAACAGAATTTTATGTTTGCATAGAAAAAAGATCATAAAGATACACATGTTAATAGTAGTTAACTTTGTTGTCCTTTTTGTATTTTCCCATTTTCTTCAAAGAACATGTGTTACTTTAGAGAAAGTAAAAATTGGCTCAGACTGAGAAAGTAAAATCTGCCCATCCATTTACCAGGCTGGGCTAACAGACACTAAAGCCAGCTACAAAGTTAGCAGGAGATGGTATTTCTTCCAGACACAGGCAGTGGCTGTAAAATGTCAACAAATGTAAGGCTCCTCTGAGTGACTAGTCCTTTCTCATGCACTGAGAAACATTGCCCTCTAAATGCAATCAGAGACTTCACTGTGTGAAATTCTGTCAGTAAGAACAACACATCCTACTCTTGCCTGGGGGGTTTCAGTCACTTTGAAGCAGCCTCGCTCATAACCCAGTCGCAGAGCTGCAGATAAGGGGTTTCCGGGCTCAGCATCCCACATGTATCTTAACTTTGTAGTTTGTTTCTGAGGCAGTGGGACCCTGGATCCATCTGAAATTCACCTGTTTACAAGCCCTGTTTTGAGCCTGTCACAATGCTGCTTCATTTAAATTTCATCTGCACCCCCCCTTCCCCAGAATCCTGTAGTAACTAGATGTTTTCCTTTGTCTGGGGAGCTGCCCCTTGGTTCCTCTTGCTCCTGGCAGTGGGTCAGTGAACCTGATTTTGTTGTACTATAGTGAACCTGGGGGTCTTCAGTTGATCAGGCTGAGACACTTTTATAATAAGTCAGGGAAAAACTGGTTTTAGGTATGTTTTATAAACGCACACACACATGCACTAAACAGCACAGATCTAAAGAGTCAACAGCAGTGTTAAGGAACAGTAATTGTTAACAGTCGTTAAGCTCTCACTGTGGGGCAGGCAGTGTTCCAGATACTTTAAAGATGTTTTCTCATTTAATCTTCATAGTAACCCTATAAGGAAAACTACTGTTCTTCATTCCTCTTTTTACAGATGAAGACTCTTGAGTTTTAGAAAGCTTAAATAATTTCCCAGGGTGACACAGTAAGTGCTGAAAGCAGCATTTGAAACAGGCCATCTGGTGCCAGAGCGCGTGTGCTTCACTTCTCTGATCCACTTCCTAAATTATCCGACGGACCCTTTCAGTAATGCCGTGGATGTGGGAAACAGCTTCAGCTTAGCTGGCTGAAACACCATGGCTTCATTTCTTAAACGCTTTAATTGAAGTCCCTTTAATGAAAACATTACTGCTTGCCTAGTACAAAGTAGCCTGGTGCAACTCTGAAACATTATTTTTAAATTTCTGATTTTTTCTTGAACGTTTGTATGTATATGGTATTCTGTTGCACTACAGATCCTTGCTAATTTTGACATAAAACAGTATTTCAGACCATTTACCATGTTGTACACCTCGGCTAGGATTTGTCCAGCCTTTAACTCTCCTAAGATATTCCAGCATGTGCACACCCAAGATAGCTCTAAAGTAATGCTTAAAAAAAAAATCTGTGTAAGTTGTGCCTAATGAAATGAAGAGACGAATTTTCTTTTTTGGTTTGGCTGCTAAATAACTTTGAAATCAGTTCTAGTAGAGTCCCAAAGCTTTGACAACTGACAGTAAAATTGACAGTAAGAGGTGTCGGTTTCTGAGGGGATCATTTTGAAGGCCTGTCTAGCTTTCAGGCGAGGTTAAGATTGGTGGGAAGCATTCATAAAAAGTCTTGCTCGAAGTCTTTATTAATTTAGCTAAGTGTATAAAACCAGACAGAGGTGAAGGTGAAGACTCAGAGCAGGTGGCTTTGTGAGACTTTTTCCTTCCCCTTGAGACAGGGGGTGCTGTGGGCAGGGTCTTGCCAGAACTGGAAAAGAGCTGAATTCTTGTTAGGCTGCTTCCTCATAAGACTTGAGTTTAGATTATCATTTTGGAGAAACACGTACTAATAGTCTCTGCTCTTCTGATTAAGACAATGTTTACAAATATTAGTCCTCCTGATGGTGGAACCAAACTGGACACCAGCAGGGTCATGCCGTCCTCTGGAGGGGGAAGGCCGGGCGAGCGCCAGGGACCCTGGACAGCTCCCTGGGGGACTTGAGAGCCTGTGCCATCTAGGATGGCCAGCATTTGGATATGTGTGTTGTATGGTTTTGTCCCTCATTTCCTACTTTGCCTTTTGGTATCAAGTGAAGGTGAATTCTGCAGATTCAGTGATCATCTTCAGATGCTTCCCATGTGCGAAGCACCATGTGGGGGAGGGTCTGGTGTTTGTAAAGATGAATTGGATCCTTCGGATCTTTCCCCTGCCGTCGAGGTGTTTGTTGTCCAGCATTGGAGACCCTTGTGGGTATAAATAGCTAAATATGAAGCAGGCTACTCAGACCAGAAGTAGCGTATGAAGAGCTGAAGAAGTGAGTGGGAGCAAGTGTTTCACCCTGTAGACAAGAGGAATCTAAGAAGCTTCAGAGAGGAATGGCCAGTCAGTAGGCTCTGGTTACTGCTGGCGGGAGAGGAGGGCAGTGGTGAGGGTGAAGAGTGGGATGAGTTGATCGTAACCTCGAAGTTTCTACCTTCAGTGAGGGGGCAGGTAGTGATGCCTCCGGCACAGGAATGACAGTCAGGGAGTCAGTCCAGCACCCCGACATTCAGGTCTCAGAAATGAGTAGCTCCTGGCACGGCGCCCAGCCCGCTGTGCTTGGTCGGTGTTGGACGCTTTTGATGACACTTGGGCAGGACCTGCAGTTCCTGTGTTATAGTTGCTTAGTACAAACACAGCCTAAAAATACCTCTGAAAGCAGTATTTCCTTCCTATTCAATCTTTCCTGTTCTCTCTTTTTAAAACTCAGGTATCAAATTGTAGTGGAAATAATTCAAGCAACTACAATTAGCAGCTTCCCCCAGCTGAAGCGGCACAAGGGTAAGAACAAGTTTGTTTTCTTCGGTTATACACCCGAAGGGTCCAGATCTAGCCCCAGCCTTCCCTCTCCCGTCAGAGCTTTGGCAGGTATGAACACTGCGTGTAAATATTTCAAATTTGTTAAAATGATGGTGTAACAGCATAAGAGAAAGTAAGTGTAATTTCATCCTAACAAAAATCTTTGTATTTCTGTGTACACTTATAAACTTTATTCATCTGCAGTCATAACTTTTAGAAGATTAACATCATTGGGTATATAGTACTTCTGTGTTTAAACTAAACATGGTTTCATAATTTTTTCTCATATTACAGTTTGATCTTAATATTCATTAATTTTTTTATATTGAAGCATAATCTTGATAGTCACATAAATGACTTCTATGAGTTGACGTTTCATAATTTAATCTTTTCCTCGAGTTAAGCATTTGTATTGTGAACAACTTTCCTCCTCCTACTCTTGCAGATTTAAAATATATGTATCTATATAAATATATATTTTTTCCTGTTTGTTTTTCTTCAAATGAAGGGCTGTTTGATCCTGAGGAGGAATCAGGGTTTGAAGTAGGCTCCCAGCTCCCTGATGGTTTGTCCAGCGCTTCATGTATGGAAGTTGTAGGTCGAGTTTTGTCTCCAGGGCAGGTCTGGATTCGCAGTGACAGGCAGCAGACACTGCTGCCTCATGGGCTGGACATCCCACAGAACTGTCCGGCCCCTCAGCTTCCTGTCTGGGGGTGGAGTGCCGGGAGGACAAGGACGACTTGGGCAGAGACTTTGACGTGTGCCCGGGGTTCCAATCAGCACACAGAGGCAAAGGGACACTGGGGTTGGGGACTTGTACTCGTCTCTCTGGATCACTGCCAGAAGGTAGGAGCCATATTAAAAGAGAGAGAGAGAGAGAGATGAGGGTATAGACTCTGAAGAGGCACTAATTCTTAATCTCAGCCCAGCAAGGAAAATTGTGCAAATGTGTTCATTTTAAAGTGTTTACTGAACACTGACCAGGCGATTATGATTCAATAGTGAACACAAGGAATCTCTGCATTCATCTAGTTCCTGAACTAGGCTGGGGGGCAGTCAGACAATTAACAAATAAAATACACGGTATTTCAGACAATGAGATGTGCTTTCGAGAAAAACAAATTAGACATTCTTGTTTAACTGTGCGGGGAGGTATGTGGTGAGGAATGTTGGTTCAGCTGGAAGGGGAGGATTTTGCACTTGGACAGGGTGATTTGGGGAGACCTCGCCAAGGTGGTGACCTGTGAGCAAAGCCCCAGGGCCCGGGGGCGGGGTGTCTGGGGAAGGAAGGGTGTAGAATTCTGAGACAGAAGCACACAGGGCTTACCTGAGGCAGCCTGTATGGCTGGAAAGGGCTGAGTCGGGAGAGAATCCGGAAGTCAGAGGTGACAGGAGACCCTAGCACGAAGGGCCTTACTTGTACAGTAGGGGCTACGGCTTTTACTCTGAATGAGGAGGGAAGTCTTCGAAGGCTTTTGAGCAAAGGAGATGTGAATTCCTATAAGAGTGTGAGCTCAGTTCCTTTCCTTTTCTCATTGTTCCTGCAGAGAAGATGCTGTATTTTCAGATAGTTTGACAGGTTTTAAGGAGAATACTAGGGAGGGATTTCTTGTTGCCACCATTGTCTTTTCTCAGTGCATCTCCTTGTTACATGAATTTAGTCAGAAACATATCTTTCTTACTTTGTGTAATTGTGTTAGTTTGCTAGGTCTGCCACAATAGCGTGCCACAGAGTGAGTGGTTTCAACAACAGAAGCTCATTTTCTCATAGTTCTGGAGTCTCAGGTCTGAGGTCGAGGTGTTGGCAGGCTTGGTTCCTTTTGAGGGCAGTGATGGAAGAATCTGTTTCAAGTCTCTCTTCTTGGCTTGTAGACAGCTGTCTTCTTCCTGTGTCTTCACACTGTCTTCCCTCTGTGCATGTCTGTGTCTGAATTTCTTATTCTTACAAGGACCCCAGTCATACTGGATTAAGGTGCACCCTAAGATGAGCTCATCTGAACTCGAGTATTTCTGCAAAGACCCTATTTCCAAATAAGTTCACATTCACGGGTACCAAGGTTTAGGGCTTCAGCATGTCTTTTGTGGGAACATAGTTTAGCCCACAACATTATAACTGGTAAGTTCAAGGTAGCACTGTAGTTTCTTTCCTGTGAAAATGCTAGAAGCATTTAATTTCAGTAAGCTGTATAACCACATTAAGATTTGCTCCATTACTCTCCTTTTGGGTTAATTCTGTTACCAGTAGTTAGCTTTTTCTAAATTTGTCTCAAGTTTATAATGGGGCTCAAAGTAAGGAGTAAAATCTCAGAAAAAAGTAGGGTAGCTAAAACCACATAGGTGACTTCGGCCACAGTGTGTCTTCATGTCCAGAACAAAGACAGGTTCCGGGAATTAGTGCTCTCTCAAATTGTGTGGGTCTGCGTAAGAATGGGGGGAAGCACAAGTGACTGAAAAAAGCAAATTGCATTTCATCAAAAGTGAAAAACTTGTGTCTGCCGCAAGAAAGTAAAAAGACAACCCACAGAATGAAGTAAAATATTTGCAAATCATGTATATGATACAGAGCTTGTATGCAGAATAGCTGAAGAACTCAGACAGCTCAGTAATCAAAAGGCAAGTAATCCATTGAAAAATGGACAGAGGATTTGTGTAGCCACTTGTCCAAAGATATACAAATGGCTAATAAGTGAATGAAGACGTGCCCTGCATCACTAGACATTAGGGAAATGGAAATCAAAACTAATATGAGATACCATTCCTCACCCACTAGAGTGGCTAAAATAAGAAACAGGTAATAACCCGTGTTGATAAGGATGTGGAAAAGTTGCAGCCCTCGCACACAGCTGGTGAAAACGGGAAAGTCTGGCACCTCCTCAGAATATTAAACATAGAATTACCATGAGGTGTAGTGGTTCCACTCCTAAGTATCTGCCTAAGAGAAATGAAAACGTGTCCAAGAAAGCTTGTTCTTGAATGTTTGTAGTAGCATTTTATTTAGAATAACCAAAAAGTGAGAACAACCCAAATGGCCGTCAACCAGTGGTGACCTGTGCATGCAGTGAACCTGGATCCAGCGGTAAAGGGAGGGAGTGGTGAACATGCTCCAGCATGGATGGACCTTGCAAACACTATGCTAAATGAAAGAAACCAGTTACAAAAGACCACATGTCGGATGATTTCATTTAAATGAAATGCCCAGAATAGGCAAATCCATAGAGACTGAAAATAGATGAGCAGTTACCTAGGGCTGCCAGGGTGGAAGTGAGATAAGATGGGAAATGAGGAGTTGACTATTACTGGGTACAGGTTTCCTTTTGGGGGTGAGGAAAGTGTTCTATGTTTAGATTATGGTGTTGGCTGCATAACTCTGAATATGCTAAAAAACTTTGAATTGTATGTGGTAAAAGGGTAGAATCCATAGTGTGTGAATTATATTTCAGTAAAGCTATTTTATAAAGAAAAGAATGAGAAGATGGAGACTGAAAATTTCATTTTCTGGCAAAACTAGCTTCAGCATGTGGCTAGTGGCTGCCATACTGGATAATACAGGAAGTAATTGGGAATTTCTAGGGGTCTTTAGTATTTATTCAGTGACTGCATGTAATACCGTATTCAAGTGTCTAGCCTCATTTCTGGCGTGTGGGTACTTAGTAAAGTTGAACTTAAATAATAAGTAAAGTCCTATTTTATAAAAGTTCTTCGATCGAATATATTTCTCATTTTAAGTCCTACTTTAAATTCTAAGTCAGTCGTCCTGGTTTGTTTGGTTTGACTTTGAGCCAGAGGATCTCTTCCTTTCTTAAAGTGTAGGGCTCTAACACTCGTGTCTGCAAAACTAGCTTGAAACAACCTAACAGGCTTAGAGTGGGGGAGGAGGGATTTCCATGCCCGGGGACTTCATGTCGGGTTCAGAGGTTCTGACTGATTTGCTTCTGTGAAGATCAGAGATCCCACCCTAATGTAAACTAGCACCGCAGGGGCTTATTTGGGCCCCTAAAGGTCCTTCATTTAGGGATAAGAATCTCGAGCTTGGAATAAATCAGACAAGCCTTTGCAGGAGAACAGTAAAGGTGACTGGGTATTTGTCACATGGTGTGAGCTTTTCTGTCTCCCTTTGACCGTTCAGTAGATACAGAATGTGTGCTGAAGCCCTTTGGGGGAACCAGCTTTGGTATTACTTCACAAAGCTAGCTCTTATGTTTTCTGTAGCCCCATGTGACAGATAAATGTGGAGATGTGAGTGTGACCAAAGACTTTTACAATTAACTTTCCACTTTAGTGTGTTACATTACTAGGATGTTTTGGTATAACATTGACATTATATTTTTTATCAAGTAATTCCATCCAAAAAGTGTTCAGTATTTTTCATAAGTTATTTGTGTTATTAGATGTTTAAAACCATATACAAGTAGTTTTTGACAAAAGTAATTTCAAAAGTTGACTTCTAATTTTTTCAGGTATGGTTATGATGTAGTTATGATTCAAGCCTATTTATGTTCATATTTTTATAATAAAACATTTCGGTGCAGTGCCGCTGGATGGACCTTTTAGCCCTAACACTGTAAGGCACAGTCACATATGGAAATGGAAAATGGAAATAGAAAAATGTGAAAGTCGATTAGCTATGAAATCTTTAAAAATATTTTTGAGGCATTCGCATGGGGAGGGTGATGCGGTGTCTGGGAATGAAGGACGGCAGTGTAGGCGCTGGTGACGGTGGCAAAAAGGAAGGGATTGGTAAGGGAGGCTGTGAGGGAAAGGTGGCCTGGTCAGTGACTCACTGGGTTTGGGGTGAATCAGATGGTGGGACGTTACGGTGCTGGGACAGCCTGCTGACTTCACAGGTGAGGACACGGCTGTCCGGAGAAGGTCAATGAACTCACTCGTCTGAGGTCATAACTCCTAGTCTGCTGCTGTTCCACTGCTCCTGTTACGTCCCGTGGCTTTCGGCCGGTGAGGTGAAGTTTGGGGTGCAGAAAAAAGTGCTGGAGCTGGTGTTGGACACCTTGGTTCTCCTGCCAGCTTCCTGTTGAAACCTGGGCACGTCCTTCATTTCTCTAGAACCCAGTTTCTTCAGTCTTCCGATTGCTTGGTCCAGATGATTAGAAAGCGTTTTTCAGTGAAGACTTTGAAAGACACAGAACGTATAAGGGGGACTGATTCAGGGTTGTGAGCGCTCAGTGGTCCCGGGACGACAGGCGAATGGAAGGGTGCGCGTCTGCCGTTTCTCACCCTGTCGTGAGAGAGCTGCCCTGAAGAGAAGTATTTGGAAGTTGCCAGCATGGAGGTGATGGCTGATAGTCTCCTGCTTCTGCTGTCCCCAAGTCCCCGTGTATCTTCACACAGCACATTATTAGAGGAGAACAGTGTATTAACAGTCTGTAATGACTTCCTTCATAAATAATGCCATCTGCTGTCTCACCATTGAAGTTCCTGTGTGGGTGGTTTCAATTCTAAATAATTAGGTTGTTATAATTTAAGTGCAGATTTTTTTTTAATTAAAGGGATGGTCAAATTGAGAATTCTCTATTGTTCTTTTTCTTTTAATTGAATATCCAGCAACATGTTATTATAGGAAGCAGTTCTTACTTCTCTGTGACCTTTGGAATTTCGATGTACAGCTGTCAAATGAAAGGTTACTTTATTTCATTCTTTCTCAAATTTATCTCTATTTCCAGAGAAATATATATGTTTTTTCCTCTTTGTGAAAGTCATTAAGGAAATTTTGATTTTTTTTTTTTTTTACATTAAAGGCTTCCCCAGAATAGAACTGTTATTTTTGGAGATCTCTGCATTTTAGAGATGGTACAATCTAGCGAAAATACCATCGGGCAAAGAATCTGGGAAAAGCCTCAGTCTGTATGTTAACCTCCTGTCACTGGCCCCACCTGTCTGCTCTGTTTCCTTACACCTGGAAAACTGGGCGGGCTGTGCCCATTCGTGTCTCAGAGTGACCATGTAGTGATGCTACCAGGTTGTGGGTGCAGTTGTAAGCAATTTCATTTCCAATGTTGTTTCTCCTTATTTCCACATTCTTTTTGTGAGTGGGAAACTGAAGAAGTTTAAAAAAAACTGAACAGATGGAAGATCCTAAGAATATTTATGATTCAAACTAGAGATGGGAACTTTATGAAAGTAGTATATATGTGCTAAAATGTCCATTTGTTGCTACATATGTTTCGGGCAAGTCTTTTTCAATTATAATTGTTGATGATTAAGAAAGAATATGCAATTATGAAAACATTTTGAGGATTTAAAGGAAAAAAATGCCGTGTAGCAGGTTGGGAGAAATTACCTGATTGTGTCTGGGTCCTGTCAGGTGAGACACTCCGCTGATTCTTGGCATGTAACGGAGAGGTGAGGCTTGACAGGAAGACAGGGGCCGATCCTAAGGGGCCTTGTGAGCTGTCCTGAGAAGTTTGGACTTAATCCTGTAGACCAGTGGTTCTCAAAGTGTAGTGTGCATCAGAATCACCTGGAGGGCTTGTTAAATTGTGGGTTGCTGGGCCCAGCCCCAAAGTTTCTGATTCTGTGGGTCTGGCGTGGGCCCTGAGAGTGTTCGTGACCCAGGGCTCCCTAGACATGCTGGTGCTGCTTCTCCAGGAACCACACTTTGAGAACCACTGCTGTAGAGCCATTGATGTATTCACGTCTCCGTTTCAGTGCCCAGCCCTCTAGCTTTTTATTTACAGTTAGAACAGCCCAAGTAGTTGAGAAATGGTCTATTAAATTAGCTGGCTGCTGTGGTCTGAATATGTGTGTGCCCCCCCTCCCCGTTTTTTTTTTGTTGAAATCCTAACACCCAAGTGTGATGGTATTAGGTGAGGCCTTTGGGAGGTGCTTAAGTCCTGAGGGTGGAGCCCTCATGGACAGACTAAGTGATTTATAAAAGAGGCGGCAGAGAGGTCCCCAGCCCCTCCCACCACGTGAGGACACGGCAAGATGGTGGCCATCTACGGCCGACACGCAGGCCTTCTCCGGAACACCCCACGCTGGTGCCCTAGGCTTGGATTTCCAGTCTCCAGACTGAGAAATAAATGTCTGTTGTTTATAGCCACCCCGTCTGTGGCATTTGGTTATAGCTGTCTGAACGCACTAAGACACGGGCCAAGTGTAGGAATTCTGGTAGTCATGGAACATATGCTGATTTGTCCTTATGGATGAAAATAAGCCCAGTGCTTCAGCTCCCTTTAAAGTACCCCCCCCCACCGGCTGTTCAGGATCCTGAAATGTTATCAAGAATAGTTAAGGTGATTCGAGAGTGGTATTTATTCAGCTGACGACGACGAAGGACATGATGTTGATTTGAAGCAGGCAGAAACTGCTGTGTATAAATACTGCGCACTGGGGAGTGACGTGCCCATTGTATAGACTAGGAGGCATTCGAAAAATTGTGTCTTGTTTAGAATATAAATAAAGAGTTCTGGAATTGAATATATCAAGCAAAACTGTAGAAGAACTTCAGAATAGATTGAATATGAATGTAAACACACACAGATGTTGATCCCCATCAGGAATTTTTTAAATAATATTTCTTACCTGATTCGGGATTTAAAGGTGTCCCTGCCTGAAAGAAGGAGCTGATCTAGAGACGCTGGAGGGCTTCCCAGAGTGCTTTCTCATGATCGATGTGATCTGATTTTCTAGCATTGCAGTAATTGGACTCAGCTTCTAATTTATGAATGACCTAAACTTACAAAACACCAGTCTGTTGCTGCAGGGCCGTTGCCAGTTTCTTCCTGCCCAGCCCTCATGCCCTCAGCGCTGCGGCCTCCAGCTCCTGCAGCCCCTTCATCTGGCCCAGCTCCCGTCCTTTCTCTGCCTCGAGGGACTGAGAGCTCAGGGCACTTCGGTCACACTCTCTGTAGGCTCACAGGTTTATATCCAACCCTGCTCCCACCTGTCTCCCCCAAGGAAACTTCAGTCATCCTACATTCTAAGGCCTGCGTTTATACAAATAGCTCAGGTCCAGAGATGTTAAACAGGTCCTAGTCACACCCTGATCTGGAACTTGAACCCACCTGTCCTGGACCCATCTCACTCCACTCCTCACTCATGCAGGTAGGTGTTACAAGAGTCATGCTCAGAACTTAGAAATTATATGGGCCAGATCTGTGTTCTGCGTGTCTTTCTCCTACCTCTTCGAGTCGTGGTTCCAATTTGCGAGCAGGGTTCTCCTGGTAATTTAATGTGTGGATTTAACTGACATGACATTATGACTTTGCAAATGTATTTCAAGTACGTTGGAGGACCTCAAACCAAAGGAAGTGCTGGAAGTGTCAGCACTTGAGACGTTTAAAGGAAGGAAATAAGATGTGGCTGCAGGCACCCTGACAGCCGTGCTAGGCTGCAAGGTCTCCGGTACCGTGAGAGGCCCCGCTGTCGGCTCCTGCCACGATCGCTGCTTATTCCTCAAATATGCTCTCTGCTAAAGTGGAGACACTTTAGATAGTGAAATTGCAGGTGTTTGGTGTGAGAAGAGAATTCTTCTCCTTCTCCTCCTTCTTCTCCTCCTTCTCCTCTTCCTCCCCCTGCTGCTGCTGCTGCTTCTGCTTCTGCTGCTTCTCCTTCTTCTCCTCCTCC